CAACTGCACGATCAGTGGGAATTTTTCTTTCTTCCACTATTTTGTCAAAAATTACCNCTTTGTTCGATTGCCATTTGGCTACGTCAACATCAATCGAGATCGTCATCTTCATCGGAACGAATGAATAAATAATAATTGCTACCATTAACTTGTCCAGAATGTACAGCCACCCGACGTAAATTATTTTGTTCTTATTTTGTTGAAATTACTCATATTGAGTTTAGTATAATTTCTATCTAGAATTAAGCATTTTAAAATTAGGAACAAAAATAAGTGTAAGTGCAAATGAATTAATTTGATTCCTTATTGGATCTACGTTGCTCAAATAATTGTCATCTGTTCTCTATGTATTTTTTAATCTTTTTAAAAATCCACAAAAATATTTACCAAGAAAATGTTCAAAAAATGCACCTCGACCGTTATCAGTTTTTGACGAATGCGTCAACTCTTTTTTCGAAATTTTTCCTGCAAATAAGCTGATTACTTTTAGTGGAATATATTTGAGAAAAGACGGCTTGCAAACATTGAGAGTATGACAAACTCCGGATTATCATTTGAGGATTGTTAATGAAAATTGCGAATAATAATAACTGTAGAGCTTTCAAAGTAACAAGCTAGGCAAATCACTGAGTAAAACAATGATGCAAAATGATCCCTTAAATTCCTCTACTAGAAACAAACAAAAATGAACGAACATGTACGGACAGTCTTTGTAAATCCTTTGATCAGTGACCGTTCCACCAAATGAATTCTTTTCCTACATGGGCGTTTCATCCAACTTCTTACGACTTTCATCTACGGAATCAAAACCATGTTACAAAATTCTAGGGAATCCTGGTGCTCTCGCACATTTACTATTTGGCCGCAAAATCTAAAATATGTTTTAGGAAAAAGAAAAAACCAAGTAAATCTTGAAAGTTTCTGGAAACATAAACAACGATTCTTAACTGACACCCAAAATGCTTCCAGAAGAATTTTGGAGAGACAGAACCGCATCTCAGAAGCAGGCAGAGGTGCAGAAATTGATACAGTTGAAACTCAAAAAAATATGTCACCTTATTCTCTTATATTTCTTACTGAAACCTATTTTGCATCGAATATCAGCTTGTGGTGTAGTTAATCTTATAATATTTAATGTTTAATAGCAGTTTTGCTGGATTTGTAATGACTTGTTAATGGTTAGTTTTAATTGTAATTCAATTAATTCATTTTATATGCGTAATACTGATTATGATTTTTATGTTTTGATAAAATTGGAGAAATTTTTGAAACTTTTTGTCAACTAACGCTTTAGTTTGTTTTTCCATTTCTATGTGATGAACTGTTAAGCTTAGAAATGATGATATCAATTGTCAGTTTATCGGCTTTACATGAGTCAACTCGTGAGTTGATACTCAGTTTAGTAACTATCATAGGTAACATTTCCTTAAAACGAACTGATGTTCCAGTTTGGCATAATTTTCTTGCAGTTATTTGAATGATGATTAGGTGTACCTTTGAACCTATTAGTCTCGAATTCCTTTATCAGCTTTGAAATTTATAAATTTTTAAATCATTTTTTGAATCTTCCAATTTTCGGGATTTTGAATTTATTCAATTTTTTGTCTTTTTTAGTTCCCTTTTCCTCTCCATGAATATTTTTGGATTTCTTTTAAAATTTTTGGAATTTCTAGTTTTTTTCCGATTTCGGAAATCTGGATTAGTTTATAAGTTTTTTTTCAGATCAACTTTCAAACTTTCTGGAAGTGTAAAATTTTTATCTCAACTGAAGACGAACAGTTTTTCAATCCTTTAACCACAACGTATTTGGAATTTTTTGCTTTTTTTCTTTGAATTTAATTTTTCGTTGTTTTTGAAAATCATTCCCAACATTTTGAGATGCTCCTTGAGCTGTTCCTTCTTTAAATTTTCAATGCTTCGAAACTTTTTGCATATTTATATATCACTTTTAAACTAATTTCTGGATTTTCTGAGAACTTAAATTTCTTGCATTTATTTTCAAACAAATGTCTCAAACATTTTCAACCATTCGAATTTCTTCCTCATCCTTTTAGATTTGTTCGTCTTCCTCCGTTTCTAGAATTTTTCATCATTTTTGGGTACTTTAACTTTCATTTAAATTTTGCTAACCTAATTTATTTAGTGTTTTTATATTAATTTGTTTTTGATTTTACGCCTTTTTCTTGTTAATTCCATTTTTTGCATGTTATTTTGATTTTAATTAACTTTTATTTTCACACCTTAATCCATACATGATATTTTGATATCAGTTAACTCTTATTTTCACGTTTTTTCCGTTTTAATTTTCGCATGCCATTTTGATATTAATTAATTTTCATTTTCACGTTTTCTAATTACCTTATTTTTTGCATGCTATTTTGATATTAAATAACTTTTATTCTTACATATTTTTTAAACCTTAACTTTTGCATACTGCTTTGATTTTAATTATTTTTTATTCCCACGTTTCTTTTTCCACATTTAATCTTTGCATAATATTTTGATACCAGTTAACTCTTAATTCCGCTTTTTTTTCACCTTAACTTCAAACAAGCAGTCAGAAAAGCGTGCAAAACTAAACGACAAAATAAATATAAGTGAGGGAAAAAAAAGCATGCAAAACAGCGAGTAAGAAAAATCATGCAAGAAGTATGAGTTGTTCAGAAATAAAAATGAAGTCGAAAAAAAGCCATGCAAAGGTGAATAATATAACACGTATAAGTTAATTAACAAAGAAGCATGCAAAGCGGTAAGGAAGAAAAGACATGAAAAGTGAGCCAAAAAAGTATGCAGAAGTGAGTAATTAGATAAATATGATTTAAAAAAAAGCATCCAAAAAATAAAATTACGAAAGCAAGTAACAAAATAGAAATGAGTAAAAGGAGAATCATGCAAGATGTAATTCAAAAAAGCATGCAAAAACTAAGTAATAAAGTATATTAGCAAAAAAAGAAAAAGCATGCGAAATAATAGCAAGTTGATGGAAAATAAAAATTAAGTTAAAAAAAGGCATGCAAAAAACAGGTAATAAAAAACTTGTAAGATAATTAGCAACAAAGCATGCAAAAACAGTAAGAAAAGCAAAAAAGCAAAAAGTTGCTGAGGAAT